GCAGTCATTTAACGCAGCGTAAGGAGGGACACACGTTCTCGAGCATCGCAGGCAGTGGTCCCCCTCCACCGTCGCCGTTGCCAAAGACGAGCAGCGAGGTGTCGGAGGACTCCAAGTTCTATAAAACGCACGCGTCAATCCGCTGGTCAGTGTGCGGGGAACTAGAGGGAGAGACGGACCTTGTGATTCGAAATCGCGCGATTCACGTCCCCGACGGTCGCCTGCGCGGTGTACGTGTCCACCGGCGTCATGTGGCAGAGCACCTGCGTCCCGTCGATGCCCACCCAGTTGAAGGTCGAGTGCGGGAAGGTGTTGCTGCGCCGCCGTGAGCTTCAGCCGGGTGGATGGTGAGGGAGGCAAATACGCACATGTTATTCCTGCGGGAATGTCAGCACGAGTAGAAAGCAAGGAAGGGAAGGGAGGAAGAGACGTACCACGAGAGCTTCTGTGTGAAGAAATACTTCATGCCTACCCGCATCGTCAGTGCCGCACAATGAGCAAAAGACAGGAAAAGAAGGACCCACCCGCGCCCCGAAGCAGCTGCGGCAGCGCACCCGTAAGACCAAACGAATCCGGCAGCCAGCCCGTCTCGCATCTGCGTCCTCGCGTCAGCTTTTACTCTACTCTGATCCACATCCACGAAAGCGTCTTTGCTCGCATCCGTGACGCGACAAAGCGAAAAGAATAAGGGCCGCACGCACCGCACCCCAAACTTGCTCTCGAAATACCGCTGCCCATAAACCATTTGCCTCACCAGCGCCTCGCCCGAGGGCAGGTTCGCGTCGTGCTCGACCCACGCGCCGCCGATGGGGTAGAACTTCTTGGCTTCTACCTGCGCGGCGATGCGCGTGAAGAGGGTGGGGTATTGCTGTGGGGAGGAAGTGAGTGAGTGAGGATCGTGCGCGGGAGGGAGGGAGGGCAGGGGAAGCGGGGGGTGCGTCTTAAGACGAAGCGGTGGGGAAACGGGGGGTGCGTCAAGACAAAACGAATAAGGAAGGAAGGGAACGCAAAGAGGAAACAAGAACGCACCTGCTCAAGCCACTTCCACTGCACCGCCTGACTGCACGCAAACCGATGCTCGGGATAGCGCTCCATCAAGTCCAGCTGCGTCGCCCAAGAGCGCGCCGTCTTCTGCTGCGTCACCGAGTACGGCCACAGCCACGCCGTGTCGATGTGGCAGCTACGCGCACGCATCGTCAGCTTATCACGTTTTCAGCCTCGCCCTCCCTCACCCTCCCTATCCCCAGCCCGCAAGGACGAGGGAGAGAGAGAGAGGAAGAGGAAGAAAGAGGAAGAGGAAGGAAGAGCCGACTCACTGCCCGATCCCCCACACCAAACTCCTCCCAAGCTCGCTCCCCTCGTCCGCCCCGTCGTACACGTCCGCGCCCCAGTTATTATCCTTGTCCCAGTCGGCGCCGAAGACGCGCTGCGCGATGAGGCGCGCGCGCGCGATGGAGGCGGGGTCGGTGGGGGAGAAGGCGTTCATGATTGCGTTGGCGGTGGTTAGGGCGAGGTTTTGGAGGCTAAAGGAGAGGGAGGTTAGCGGAAGAAGGGGAGGGGAGGGAGGGGGAGGAGGGGAAGGAAGAGGAGACCGAAAAGAAAGAAGAAAGGAGGGAATGGAAGTCCAGATCAACGCTGGCACATCCTGGAATACCAAGCAACGCCGCCCGTATCCCCCACGGATTCGCGAGCCCGATACAGCCAGACCCGCGCGGCACGGTGCTGGAGTGCGCGGATTCGTACACACGTATGACGAACCGGAGCACCAAGGATACCCGGGCCTCTCCGCCGTACGCGTCCTCCCCAGCCCGCGTCTGTGAGCAAAGCGGCCCCGCGCAAGCACTGCACCCACACTTTCCGCTGCTCGTCGGCGTGACCGCCGCGGCGCCTGCGAGAGCAAGAAGCGCGCCCTGGGATCGACACCTCAAGACCGCCTCGGCAACCCGCACAAAAGCGGGGATCCTCGACTACAAGAACGTCTAGCTCCATGTCACCGACCCTCGCACGCGCCCGCCGCCCACTCTGGGATCCACATTCGTGGTACCAACTTCCCCGCACATACGGCACAGGAACCCACCAGCGAAACTACGAAGCAGGTACGCTGAGTTAGCCCTCCGCGTCGTCCGCAGCTAGCCCCTTCTCCGGGCACCGTCGGGGCGGACTGAATATAGCTCCCCGTCGTCGCCCGACTGCCGTCGATCTGAAACGCCCACGGTGGGCGCGCGCATCAACTCCTCCATCCTCCGCGTGCGCATGCGCAGCCCTATATCTCAGGCAAATAGAGCTCCACCCCGCCGTCGTCTCCCTGATCTGCGTGCTCCCCGTCTGCGTCCACGTCGCGTCCGTGCCTGAATACGCGGCAGGCAGGCAGGCGCAAGATCGAGTGCATCCGATCTAGTTCTCAGCAGATGGAGGCGTCCGGCAGCGCCGAGATCGTGCCGCGTGAGGTACAGTACCAAGCTGAATCCACAAAGGACGCCGCATGCGCAATCGCACGCGTTCGCACGAGCTGCATCGACCCCGCTCCACGGAATCTGCACCCGCGCACACCTCCCGCCGGACGCGTGCGTGCGCGGCGTTCACGAGACCCACCCGCGCGAGCTTGACCGCGTGTACATGGTGGGTCTGAGTCTCACCCGAGCGCTGCATCATCGCCCGCGACCCCGGTCCACGGAATCAACACGCCCAGCGTCCCCGTCGGACGCGTGCGTCGCCACCATCGCGCCCCACGGTCACCCGACGCCCTCGCGAACGAAAGAAATACGGGCAGATTAAGGGAGAAAACGACGCGAAAACGAAATAAAGTGGGGCAGAGAAAGAACACACACCTCGTCCCCCCGCCAACATTCTCCACCACTTGTCGTAGCGCGACAAAATCCCACCAGAGACGCCACGCGGGGGCGTTGGGGATGACGAGGGCGGCGGTGGCGAGGGTGAAGGAGCGGTTCGGCTGGAAGGAAGTTGTGAGTAAGAAGTATTTAGTATTTTGCGAGCAACAAAAGGACAAGAAGGTGGGTAAAGGAGAGGGAAGGACGAATAAATGAACAAACGAATGAAAACGAGGACAAGGCGCGCGTTATCAAGTCCGACCATATTGCGCGCGCCATCGCCCGAAGGAAGAAAATGGGAAGGCGGACAAGGGAAGGTGGATAAGGGAAGATGAAGATGCGAAGGCACGCAAATGCAAGCGGAGGAACAAAAGAAAAGATGCATGCATGTGGTATTGGCGGCAACGCCTCGCCATGCCCCCAACGCGTCGCAGCGCCGCGTCGAGTCGACCGGGGAGACCCGACTCGCCTCGCCATGCCCCAACGTCGAACGCGCGCGCGCGTCATGAAGTCAAGTGCGCCACCGCCCGGAGGAAGACGGGAATGATAGGAAGGGGGGAAGACAGGAATAATAGGAAGGAGGAAGGCAGACAAGGGGGGATGAAGATGCTGACGGCACGTAAACGCAAGCGCAAGCCAGGGAATATGAGGATGCATATGCGTTGCATTGGCAGCAAGGCGGGCGGGAGACGAAGGCAACGCGTTGCAACGCCGCGTCGAGTCGCCATGCCCCCCACGCGCGCACCAACGTCGAACGCGTCCAAAAGACCTGCGCCTCACCCCGCTATGCCCCCAACGCGCGCACCAACCGCGAACACCGTAGCCGTAGGGTAGAAATAAGACGAAGAACGCGCACTCACATCTGGCGGCCCGATCCCGCCCCCGTCCACGCCAAACATCCCATTGCACGAGCTCTCGATGACGAGGTCGTGGGAGCCTTGAATTCAAGTACAGTAAACTCGCGTTAGAATCGAGAGGGGTATGTAGTGGGAGAGGCGCAACGTACCTTGCGCGACGGCCTCGGGGGGGATAATATACTCGACGCGGCGGTCGCCGCCGTAGCCGCCTGTGATGCCTTGCAGCGGGGTGCCGTCCGTGTCGAATATCATGGCTTCGCAGCCTGGGTCGAATTCGACTAAAACGCGCGTCAGCAGTGAGCGTCCCAACAACTCCCATTCAAAACGCAAGCGAAATGAGGTGAAGTAAAGACTGAAGTAGAGTAGGGATTGAAGTAAGGGAAGCGACTCACAAGTAACCCTCTCCTCCCCCTCAAACTCGCCCTCAGGAAGCACCAAGTGCACGAGCCACCAGTGGTTCGTCCAGCTCGGCCCGAAGGAGTCGCCCTTCTTCGCGGGCTTGAAGTCCGCGCGGTGGGAGAGGGCTTCGGCGAAAGAAGGCTTGGTGAGGCCCGGGGCGGACCACCTACGACAATGTGTATCAGCAGCAATTCAGTGTAGACACGAACACGAAGGCGAGTAGGAGTAAGTAGACACGGCACTCACACCTTCATCTGGACATACCCCTCCCCCTCTTCAATCCGCTTATACAACGCCGCCCCAAGGTTAACGTCGTTAAAGTGCCCGCCGTTGAACTGCCCGAGTCGATCCTGCGTGAGGCGCTTGATCCACTTCGCGCCCGCGGAGGGGTTGAGCGTCGGGTAGGGTTTGTTGCTCGTCGTCGTATTCGTATTGGTTGTGGTAGCGGTAAGGGTACTCGAAGTCACAGAGCTTGTGCTTGAAGCAGAATACGCGGTGATGCTAGGCGCCGTAGAGTGCGTATGCGAATGTCCGTGCCCACTGTCCTGCCGCGGCATCCGCCAGAACCTGTCCCCGGCGTCGAAGGGCTGCCCGCTAGCCTGGGGCACGGCAGAATGCATAGTAGCGTTCTTGAGGCCGTTGCCCGCGTTCGTTGGGCTGTTGGGCCCGAATCTGCTGTAGCTCATCGTACGTTGTCGTCGTCGAGCGTTAAGCGGCGTTGATGGCGCTTCCCCGCGATCACCAACAGCACGTGGAAGAGCTGATGCCGGGCCGGGTGCCGTGTTCAACGTCGAAGTTCAGTTCAAAAAGTGAAGGTTGTGGGTTGCCGGGTGGTGGATATTAGTATGAGGTTGATGGGCCTGGAATTAAGGCTCACTACCTGCCAAACGAAAAAAAGAAGCCGCCCAAGAATGTAATCAGACGCGGGGAATCGAACCCCGGCTTCCCTCAGCCTTATTCAAGCGATAACTGGATGATTAGGGTAGGAGGGTGTGCACCATGCACCACGTCCGAATTAATGGGATGCAGTGATACTGCAGCATGTGGATAATCTTTTGGTTCCCTTTTTTGCGACAGCTCTGAATAATTTGTTGGTTGATTTGTGCCAACAGAGCTTCAAATTGAAATTTGAGTAGAGCTCACACAAGGCACAGGTTAAAGAGGGCAATGCTGCACGAAAGCAATCCTTCTCTCCTCGAAAGTCACCTCAGTTTCCTATTTGGCGAGAGTAGGCACCGTACACTATATCCGATTCCCTCGCACACAATCGTGGATGCAACTAAGTTCGTTCCTTCTCTTCCCTGAGGCAGTTTCCCCACGGTTCGATTTTTCCGATTTCGTTATACGTGTATTGGATCTCCATCGTCTGTACAAATTTCCCCATGAATTACCACCGGGGCTGTCAAGGAAATGTAAGGAGCAGAGGAATTACTGGGAGGAAAAAAATGAGGGCGAAAGCAAAGCATTCTACTCGGACACAGGGAATCGAACCCCGGCTTCCCTCCAACTTATTCCTACTGGCGGGTCCAACATAGGGCTGGAGGGCGTGCACCATGCACCACGTCCGAGTGACTCCTCTGTCGTAATACTGGAGGACGTGGCTGCCAGTGCATTTTTGCAGCATGAATGATTTTATTGAGTTTTGTGGACCGTGCTTGATTCTAACAGGCTTGAACAGACACAGTCTGACCAGATCAGGAGGCTTTCTTCATGCAACTCAAAGGCGCGGGCGCAGAGCAGAGGGGCGGTCACCAATGACTCTATCAACAGGTGTCGTCGAACAGGCAGAATTAGAGGCGGATGGAAAATAAAATAAAATGAACACGCTGCGATATTATTCGGACGCTGGGAGTCGAACCCCGACTTCCCTCGAGGATTCCACTGTAACCAAGACAGGCAAGGAGGGCGTGCGCCATACACTATATCCGAGGTACATCCCAATAACGGAGGTGCGCCAAATGACGGCGGTTGACCGAAAGTACATTAGTATTTTAAGTGGGTTTAATTGCATTTTTAAGTTCAACTTCAACTTTGGGCTGAAATCGCCAATTGCGGATGGATTATTTTTATTATTGCCGAGTGTGGTAAGTAAGTATCATGGAAGGTAATTGAGAACGGACTATCTGGGTCCAAATTCCTGAATTGAGGGGGAAAAAACCCATTCAGACGCGAGGAATCGAACCCCGGCTACCCTCTTATTACAACAATTCTTTGAAGTCCCACCGGGTGAGGGCAGACACCATGCACCACGTCTGAACTATGTGTCTGTAGTGATACTGCAGCAGGTGGGTGCATTTTTACGGCATCAATGGAATTTATCGAGTTTGGACAATGTGGTTGATTTCAACAATTGCCAACACATAGCAGGCTTTCTTCGCACAACTGAGAGGAGTAGGTATCAATGCTGTACGGACTCGGAGGCATTGTTGAATAAACGAGACATGGATGAAATAAAATAAAATGGACACGGTGCGAACACACTCGGACACGGGGAATCGAACCCCAACTTCCCTCGAAAATCCCTTACAATCATACCACAATAGGCAGGGAGGGCGTGCACCAAACACTATATCCGAAGTACATCTCGATAACGGAGGTCCGTAAAATGAGTGCGATTGGAATCGAAGGTGTCTCGGATATATCAAGATTTAATTGGAGGTCACAAACTTACAATCCACCTCACCGGTTGGGAGATTCAAAATTTTCAGCACAATTTACGGTGAAAAATGTCGTTGGGTTTTCAGACATTTTTCAGTGAAAAAATTCAAACATTTTTCACCACTTTTCGCCTTTCTTTTGAATTTTTCACCTCAAGCTCAAAAAAGAGTAAAAATGACTTACAGCTGTTTGCAAATCTAATGGCACTACCCCTATCTTTGGAAGAAAGAGCATTTTGAACCCTACCGGGTTTTTAGCTCATTACTCCCTCGGTTTTGAACCAATTGATATAAATCTGGGTGGGTTAGAGAGCAGGTAAGGTGGGCTTTCAATTGCTACAGGTCTTGCCCTTTAACTCAAAGTTTTCAGCTATGTCAAAAATCAGCCTTGGTGGTGCTAATCCCACACTGGAAACCCCACTACTCGCTCATTTCCCATTCAATTTGCATAAAACTAGGTTCATATTGAACGTGGAAGCCCAGCCAAGATTTTGTGAACCAGACATAATGGTTTAGTGCCAAGACAACCGAGGTTCCCATGCCTCTCGGAATTTTCCGTTGAACAGGATCTAACCCAAGTGCGGCGCAAATCTCACAAAATCTGTACTATCTAGGACAATTGACTCCATTCATAGACTCCATCATGGCTGGAATCAAGTAAATTAAATGAGAAACCATGAAGTTATTCAGTTAACAAGTTGTGGTTGAATCAAAAGGTATGAATTTTTGGGTCGCCGACTGGGGCGAGCTAGGACTGGAAATGGATATGAATGGAAGGCCCGCCTTCCCCGCTCTCCAACCCACCCAGAATTATGTCAATCCGTTCAAAAATGAGGGAGTAATGAGCTCAAAACCCGGTAGGGTTCAAAATGCTCTTTCTTCTAAAAATAGGGGTAGTGCCATTACTTATGCAAAGAGCTGTAAGTTTTTCACTTACTTTTTCAGTGAAAAATGTCTGAAAAACAAACGACATTTTTTACCATAAATTGTGCTGAAAAACTTGAATCTCCGAACCAGTGCCTCCATAATATCCAACAGAGAAGAGTTTAGTGCAAGAAAAAGGTGCAGGGATAACAACTTTTAAAAGCATCACACCAATGACAATTTAGGGATGGTCACGGGTAAACCCGCGGGTTTTATGTAATGGCGACGTGGAGCTCGACTCTGCGAATTCCTTGAGCCCAAAAACAGCCAGAACGGTTGAGGACTGACTGAGTTATGATTAAAACAAGTTTGATACCCCAAGGTCACATACATATGTGACAGGACCTCTGAACGTGGTTAGAAACCCGCGGGTTTCGGACCCCCGGGTCTGGGCACTCATTCTGCTACTGGAGACGGCGGTGTTGCTATTTTCAGCACCAAACTCGATAGAACTATAACTTAGTCAGTTCTTCACGGATTGTGCTGCTTCTGGACTCAAAAAAATCCTACAGTCGAGCTCAACGTCATAATTACATAAAATCGATGAAAAACTCGTGAGTGACACCATCCCAAATTCAATACTCGGACACGAGGATTCGAACCCCGAGTTCCCTCAAAATTCTCTGTGATTTCGCCCATAAGGGAGGGTGTGCAGCATGCACCATATCCAACTTACCAGCCTACACGTGGGTGCACCTCGAAGTTGAGTTTCTTGTTCTCCATGAAACAATGTTCCCACGGTTCTACTTCTTCGACTCTACTTTAAGTCTATTGACTCTCTCTCCGTCGTCTTGACAGGGTTCCGTGGAAGACTCCGAGAGCACCGTGTAAATTTTGAGTGGTGAATGACTGCGAATGAAAATTGGTGTGCACTCTTCAAAGTGATCTTCTCACTGTTCAATCCATCCCGTTTGTTTGAAGTCTTCCTCATCTGTGATATGAATTGAAGCGAGAGAAGGATCGCGTGCAACATCACACCAAATGTTACCAAGACAATTGAAGAATATGGTGCTCACGTATTCGACAACAAACTCCAAGGACTAGCCTGATGTAACACCTACGGGACGACGGGACGAGAGAATAGCCAGACAGTGACAAATTTACCAGTTTTTAGGGGATTCAAGATTAATTTGCAGAAGGCCCGGCCGCCCAATGTGAGGCGCTTCGGGTAGGAATTGTCTTTCAATGATAAACTGGTTGGTCCTTAAGAATCATAATGGGAATCACCTTTGGACCTCTGGCGCAATTTACAGAACAAGGAAAGACTCTTAGGGTGATTTTTTGGTAGAAAGTTGTGAGGGATAGCAACTTTCGATTGGTATGACCGAGCAGTAGCGCAAGCGTTTTGCCCGCTTACAACCGGATCAAAAAGACAGCTGTATCAGATGGCCTAAAAATATAATCCTTCGCATTTTTCTATCATTACTGTAATTGGATGAATCATCTGGCTCTCTTTCAGGTGGATACAAGATAAGACCTCCCTTCGCTCTGGCAGGTTAGAGTCTGAGGTGCAGGTTCCCTCGGAATCGAAAATGTGTGAATGATTTCATTTCTGTTGAGTGGGGCACAGGTTCGTGGATTAATTTTTGAAAGGTGTGTGGTGAATTAACAACAGAGATCCAGAGGGAGATGGAAGGGGAGAAGCCATATGGGGATTCAACCAAAGACATGCAAACCCACGCGGCATCTCGTTAAAGAACAACGTGGAAAGTTCCCGCGCCGTCAGTTCTACAATTAGTTGTTATGACAAAGAGCACGAGGACACCTGCCAGTCAGTCCTCGACCACGATGTGTACGCAGTGAGCAAGACAGTTAAAATTTGTCCAACACATATAGTGCACCTTTGGCCTACCAGGCTCAATAGCAACTTCACTTAAGCTGCAACCAATCTTTTCCAATCCCTAGCATTCGATTCCTCGGCCCATATTACTTCCGCCCCGTCAAAGCGTGGGTTTTGGGATGTCCGAAATGCATGGCAGTTGCATGGAACCTGTCAGATAGGTGTCAGCGCCACAAAGTCACTTGGAATGTTGCCACCTGGCTTGAGACCTCACTGCAACCTCGTGGGCTGAAGCCACAGTATTTAAAGCTGCTCACAGCTCCGATTCTAATCCAATAAGTACACCACCTCCAAGGAACGATCTATGGCGACAATCCACGTCGAACATCTCCACGGTACGTCAAAACTGGTTTAGACACAAGCATAAGTATTAAACTTGCGTAGGAGGTACCGGGGGCACTGGTGGGCAGGGTGGACAACGTGGTGGCGAGGGGGGTGTCGGCCAGGGTAACATTTTCAATACCGACCAGGTCCATGTCTACGCATCCTCTAGTCAGGTATGTCAATGTTTTTATACTTGTTCAACAACTGAAAGCTGATTCTAGGCTGATTTGCTACCCTGGTTTGCTCCCAAAGCACTATTCGACGCAGATGCGGCCGTCGGAGGGCCAGCAAGGCGGGCTTGCACAGAAAACACTCGTGTAGGACTGATATCCCGCCTAAAACAGTGGGCATGTGACACCTCCGATACCAGCTCACCCATCTTTTGGCTGAGCGGTATGGCTGGTACTGGAAAGTCAACCGTTGCCTACACCCTCTGCCAGCACTGGGACACAGAAGGCCACCTTGGTGCATCTTTCTTCTGTTCTCGAAATGACGACAAGGCCCGGGCCCGTCCATTCATCATTCCGACCATTGTTCACCAACTGCTGTACACGCACAAACCTTTTGCCCACTCACTCCGTGATGTCCCTATCAACCTTGTCATTCCAAGGATGGCTCGACATGTGGACCAGCTCCTTGTTCAGCCTTGGTTACAGAGTATGGCTTTGCAGTCCTCTGAAAAGTTGCCGTTGGTGGTCGTCATTGATGCACTCGATGAAATTGAGGGCAATGATCATGGACCTCAATTAATCAAACAACTCATCCAGGCGGTTTCTGTGTCTGGTACAAGGCTTTGGGGGCTCAAATTTCTTGTCACGAGTCG